AATGGGGTATATGCCATGGACTTCCGTTTTAGCACTTCCGCATTTTTTAGCCACATAGAATGCTTCCGGTGCACAGGCAACAGTACGTTAACAGTGGCTCCTCAGTCGTTGCAGGACTATTAATGATGCCTATAAAATTATTCAGACGTCCTGAAACGCTCCAACAACAACAAAGGATTTAAGCTGGATGTGTCAAAACTTCACAATAACTTCGAAGGTAAGTTAATAAATCGTTTGTATTCACCATAATGCCTCATGTCTGACGTAGCTAACAGGGACAAGCTTACAAAGGTGCTATGTAAACGTTCAGTGGTTTGATTATCTGTGCAGTGTGCAATCTACATATCTATGCTTTATAGATAGATATAGATATATATCTATATAAACATATATAGATCTGTCTATATTGTGCCCCAGCTATCAGTCGAAGCTGAAGTTAGCTTCCCAATGTAGCATCTAATTCGGAAAATAGCTAAAGGGCGATTACACTTAATTCTTCACTATCTTGAGCTTTTTTAATGTGTTGTACTTTAAAAACTACAACACCTAGTCATTTCAAACCTAACTATATTATTCTGTACTAACGGCAGAATAAATACAACATTTGTGAAACCTTCTAATTGATTTGTGAAATTTGTAAAATGTCAATAATAGATTCCAGAACACATTAGATCTGAATTGTTAAATTGGCATTATTTGTTATTTTAACTTTCCTTTTCTTTTCTCTTTTTTAATTTTTATTATAGTTGGAGTTGGACAGGAGTTCTGTTGGATGGCTTCCTGGATGGACAGATTGGCTGAGCTAATGTTGCCATCAACTTTTCTCCTGCTATTAACTTTTTTTTTTTTTTTTACTTTTTTTTATATAGAAAGTATTTCTATCAGTTGCTCTTTTTCCATTTTGTATACAGTATTTGCTCTATTTTTTATTTTTACCTTAATGCTTACCTGGTCAGGTGAGGTGGAAATGTACATCCTGTTGATTACTGACAAATGTCAGAACCACATGGACTGAGCTAGTTACATCAGATCAATCTGAATCTTTATTTCTCATTAAAACAACGTCTTGTAATTTTAAGACATTGTTAAAAAATTGCATCTTTATTCTGCTGTAACAATGACTGCATTCTTGCAATTAAAAATTTTTGTATCCTGACCGTAATGCTCCCTTATACAACTCACAGAACAGATTGAAATGAAGGCACTTTTTGAAAATATTTTCTGTGATTTTATTATAGAAATTGAGGGCAGGAGGAACTGATTAAAATCAAATCTGGTATGAAAAAAAACCTTGTAAGTCATATCATCCAGCCTTATTCAGTATATTAAATTATATGACTAACTACATATTGCTTAATATTCACATTTCTTTGCTGGTATTACCTAAAAGTGTTGCATTTTAACATCTCACTTTAATTCCTGATCTACATGTAAATACTTGATATAACATAAACACAGAGAAAGGGGAAAAAAAGGTTTGTGAAATGTAGAGTATTACAAATGAGATTCAATTTTATTGTAGGTACAAACAGGATAGCAAAATGAACAGTGAATATATAATATACTTCCTAGCAGCTAATCAGAGATCAGACTTGTTCGCCTTTACTGGTGATGAAAACTCGTCACTCTGGAGGAAAGGAAGATCGGCTCAGCCCCGTCCAGGATGACTGCAGTGTCAGGGTAGCCAACAAAGTCTGCAGGAAGATTTTTGCATATCTGGTGCTCCAGTTTCAAGATCATAGTTTAACCAAGTACTGTAAAAAAAAAAAGTTAGTCCACGTTGTGATGATCCGTGGACTGATGGACGCCATCAGCTGGTCCAGGTTCTTGGATCCAATGGAAAGGTAATCGGCACTGTGATCATGGCTCAGAAACACGAGGTGTTGCGATGCAAACCTGAAAAATTAAAAAAACAAAAAACTAATAAAGTCCATATTTAGCTGCACAACGTAATCAAAACTAATAAATCCTCAGCTCTTTTTGAGAGTTTTGCTTGAAAATAAATTGACAATATCTCAGGAAATGTTTAAGTGAAATAGTTCTGGTATCACAAAGAAACTGCAAAAACTGTTTCAGAGGTGTAACAACACTGAAGTTACTGAGTAAGAGTGAACTAAAATACTACTTAGTAAATGCATGTTAAAATCTGAATACTCTTTTGAAAGTGTGCAGCTGAAATTAATTTAAACTACTAGCAGGCAAAGCACAGTGTTCACCTGATATCTGTACCAACAGTAATACAAAAAATGATGCATATAAGGCATTAGTTTATAAAATCGAGGCAAACCTAAATATATTATTTTAAAAACAAAAAGCAGCGGGAGGATGTAACTTCATAACCTCATTTTCTAAGCAGAATCTCAGAGGAAAAAAGGAGAAATTACGTAACAGATTAAAGCAGCCAAGTGGAAAAATTCACTCTAACGTGGATTATAATTATGAAACAGCAAAGGTAGATGTCATTTTCAGGATTCGGGAAATTTGTACCATTTGTTCTTTGGTTTTTCATGTGGATCGGTGCCACTTAAACGGCTGTAAAGCGAAGGTTTTGGACCTTAATCTGACCGACTACCTGTGTGGTTTGGATCGGGCTGAAGCGTTGCTGCTCTTGGCTGTTCTTAAATTACCTGCTCGGTATCGGAGGGGCTCGTCGCTCCGACTGCATGTTAAATGTATTTTGTATAATTGTCATATAAACAAAAGCTAAGGAGTTGCCTAAAAATAATTTCATACTCCGTATAACACAAACGCATCAACACACGTATTGACTTACCTTGTGCCGAATCGCTGCCTCTGTTCTCAGCCTGTTCCCAGCAGTGGATTTCCTCCGGCATTATTTTCCTCCAACAAATTATTCCAGTGAACGAACCGCGTTCAGCTCCTTTTAACCTCCATCTTCCCATTTCTGACGCTGGATCTTCAATATCCTCAAGCTTTGAAATAGCAGGCAGCTACAAATCATGTGTTAGCTGTAGTGGCTAAGTTTTGGCTACAGTCTGCTGTCGCCTTGATATCAGCAGGAAAATGAAAAAACTAAGCACCAGATGGTACCGACTAATTACTGGACACAACGGCACACCACAAAACTCGATTGTTGTACCAGTAGCTCACAGATATTTTAAGTTTTGCGTCTTTTTCATGGTACAGATCTTGCAGCTTTGGCCAAAAACAATAGGAGCAAGCAGGACCCGGAACCAATCTATGTGGCATAAATTCAAACGGAAATACGTCACCACCTCTCGAGGCATATGCCCATAGACATAATA